GTCTGTCCGTCCATCCCTGTGTGCCTGTGCTGACATGGCCCCCCCGAAGGTGTTCGCATCCACGTTTCCACGTGCACCCCCGTGTCTGTGCCCCCACGCCGGGGGTTTGCACCGCTGAGCACACACCTTTACACACCCACGCTGTGCACCCACACGTGTGTCCCGCCCCACGTGCCCACGCCCGGGTGCTGTTACCCCCGGCAAAGGTTCGGGTCCCAGCCCTGCCATCCCCCGTGCTGTGCCGGGCCGGGGGGCGAGCGGGGCAGGGCGGCTTTATTGGGTGAGGAGCGGGGGGAGCGCTGGGGCTGGGCAGGGAGGAGAAGCCAAGGCAGAATCTGGGGCCAGGACTGTGCCGTGACCTGACAGTCGGGCAGGGCTGTGGGGTCCCGCTGGTGGAAGAGGAGGTCCCCCGGCCCTAGAAGAACCTCTTCTTGGGGGACTCAGCGAAGGAGACGGAGCTGCGCGGGGCCAGCAGTGCCAGCGGGACGTCCATGCCGGGCAGGACCCCGGCGCCTTCACCCTCCACCTTCCGCGCCGGCAGCACCTCGTCCTCCTGCAGCCACTCCACCTCCGGCACGGTGCCCTCGGCCATCACCGCCTTCTCCTCCTCCGGCTTGGGCCCAAACGCCCAGTCTGCGGGGGCAGGGACGGAGCCATCAACAGCACAGCCCGGTACAAGCTCCGGGCGGGGGGGACGCCCCTGCCCCCGGCCCACCCCAAAGCCCGAGCCCACTCTGGGCAGCACTCACCGGCGAAGTCGTGCACCAGGTCCTTGATGAGGTGCCCCACGATGGCATAGGCCACCACCAGCACCAGCGTGGCCGCCATCACCAGGTACAGGACGTAGCGGGGCAGGCGGATGCTGTCCAGGGCCGGGGGCTTGTAGTCCACGTACAGCACCCCGTCCTCCTCGGGGGGGGACTGCAGCAAGTGCCGCGGCCCCCACACTCCCCCTGCCAGGGCCATGGCCAGCTCCCCCCACAGCTCTGCCGGCGGCTCACTGTGTCCCCATGGCCGGTGGCAGTGCCACTCGCCCTCCGTGCGACGGCAGCTGTGGTGCTGAGGAGGAGCTTAGCGCCTGCTAATCCGGGCACGGCCCGGCTGCCTCAGCCTGGGGGGGACCACTGGGCTCCGACG